CTTGCTTCCTTTGAAAAAAATTCACATGAATGCTGATAATCTGTCGTTTGTTCGCCCTTTTGAGCTGCGGACATATGAGTTTTACTAATTTATCACTCGCTTCATATTTGTTGTTGCCTGTAGCTGTTGGTGTTTGTGCATCCTTTGTTATTTGTGAATGTATTGTCCATCCATCGATCTCCCCGTTTCTATGCCTATCTTCATAGTTGGGTTCTTCTTTAGTGCACGATACGTGACCTGTCTGGCAGTACATCTTCCATTTTCTCAGTAAAAAAGGTGTTCCTGCCAACGGGACCAAGTTGCGAAAAAAAGGACTGCGACCAAAATAGAGACCACAACATGTTCTTCTCTGTATTTTCCATGAATTATTTTTATTTGATTTCTTCTTTTTTTCGTCTTCAGAGAAGCTCATCCAGACGTTCATGTAAAATGGGTCGAACCGGTCTGCGATTTAAAGCGACTATTGAAGATTGAAATAAAACGGTAGGTGAATCCATTCAAGCAATACCCATCTGTACACAACAGATGTTTCATACCAAATAACTACTTTAGGATACAGAAGTAGTTATCTTAAATAACACTTTTTTGACATTCAAAACTTAAGCTTCACTTAGAAATACACATAATAATGCAGACTTAATTAGAACACTTTTACTTATATTTTCTGCTATGACGATGGTCTTCTTTCTGTGCCGCGTAGCATGATTTCATCGATGTTTTAGTGGCTGCACATTTATTTTCATCTTGTTTATACTTTTCCGGAAAAGAAGGTTGCAAAGGAATATACAAATTGTGTTTCTGTATTATCTCAAGCAGATTAGGTGATACAATTCGTTGTTTGGACGATCTATTTCTCAGCTCGCCTAATGCTCTTTTAAAATATAGTCGAGAAACGCAGGCCTATCTCTACATGGCTCGAATGATCCTGGCCGAGACCAACCAACGCCCAAAATACAGCTTCCCTGCTATCCATCGCCTTTATCCGTCCGAGTGGTGGCCTAGATTTTCTTGCCTCCATCCAAGATGCTGCTCAAAGAGAAAAGAATCCGAAGATTGTGAGACCTTGTTACCTCTGCATGTCGAGGCCTCTGAAACGTGTGATTATATTCCGTCTTCTTTCTCCCAAACAACCACTGTTCCGCTCTCGGATGCCGCCTTACAGGCACGTGTCTCGACTGAACGAGCTGGCGCGGATAACCCTCATACTTCTTGCCTAGCTGGTGCTGCCTCTGCAGACTTAAATAGTGAAAAGAATCCATCGCCAACCAAAGGTTAGAGCTGCTTTAAAAAATTGTAAAAATTGTAACAACTAACATAAATCCCATCACTGCTATCCAAGCTAAAATGTAACTTAAACAATAAAAATATATACAAGAGTTATAAAACACTTATCTATATACCCCCTATCATTAGTTTTTCCATATATATATATATATATATATATACTGG